CATATGCAGGTATTAAACCAACCACAAATTGAAAATATTTGGGAAAAAAAATTCCAGAACATTTCAAAAGCAAAATTTGAATTTGTCGTGCACCAGCAACTATTTACATAGCATTTACATTGTATTAGGTATTATAAGTAATCTAGAGATGATTTAAAGTATACAGGAGGATGTGCATACATGCATACATTATATGCAAATACTATGCCATTTTATATAAGGGACTTGAGCATCTGTGAATTTTGGTATTGGGGAGGTCCTTGAACCTATCTCCCATGGATACTGAGGGATGACTGTATTTCTATATCTTTGCATAAATATGATATTATTTTAGTTACCTTAGGTTTATAGTAAGCAAGTCCCTCAAATTATTCTTCAAAATTGGCTTAACTTTTGTTCTTTCTAATGAATTTTCGTATCACTTTGACAAGTTCCACAGAAAACACTGAATTTGTAGATTGATTTGGAGAAAATGACATAATTATAATATTCAATCTTCCTTCCCTCAAAATTGGTATATAGTTCTATTTATTCAGATCTTCTTTAATGTGATTCAGTGATGTTCTATTTTCTCCATAAAGTATCACAGATACTTTGTTAGATTTATTCAAAGATATCTTATTGTTCTGTTACTATTATGAATTATATATTTTTCTACTAATTTTCTAAACAATAATTATCAATATAAGAATGCTATTGTGTCTTACAAACCTGCTGAATTTTTAGATGGTCTCTATAGACAATCATATCCTTTACAAATAAGAGAAAGTTTTTATTTTCCTCTTCTATATATTAATTCTCTTCCTTCTCTTATTGCATTTGCTATACAATACAACATTGAATAGAAGTGGTGCTAGAAGCCTCTTAGTCTGGCTCTTAACTGGCTCTTAACTTGAACAAGAATGCCTCCAAACTTTCACCTCTAAAGTATGATGTAAACCATTGTCAGGCTTTTAAAGTTTCCCTTCTATTCATAGTTTTCTAAGAGTCTGTATATGTGAGTGGGTGAGTGTGTAAAAGAGTTCTGAATTTTATATGCTCTTTCAGCACCTACTGAGATGATCATATGGTAATCAGGAAGACAGGAATAACAGGGAGACTTATTACCCTATACCCTTTTGTACTTGTTGAATTTTTACCAGGACTTCCATTTCCAGTAATAGAGTGGGCTAAATAATTGGAACAACCCTCCAACTGAAAATACTAGATAAAATACTAGTAAAATCTTAAAAGCATCAAAGGAATGTTAAGAGGAAATTATTAAGCCTAACTCTTGGTGAATGTAGGAACCCAGAAGTGAATAGGACCCTGAGGGCATTTGCCAAACCTCACCAATCTCAGCCTTGGTTTCCGTGGCCTCAGGAAATGTGGAAGAACAGAAGCCAAAGCCCAGAGCCTACCTGGGGAATTAAATAGGACACTCAGATCCCCGAGGACTGGTAAAAGGATGAACCTTTGGTATAAGAATAAATCCCACAACTCCTGCCCCAGAGAAAGCAAGAATAAAGGAAAGGAATTCCCCTGATGAGTTGTAATAACAGATAGCCCTCATGAGGATTTACAAATTCACACAACCTGAATGATCCAAGAAAAAGTCAAGAACTGATAGTGGTCCCAGGCACAGCCAAGGCAAACATAAATCCCCACTGGAAGAACCCACCATCGTCCAGGGCCTCAAAGAATGCTCACAAATAATTTTCTAAAGAAAATGAGTAGCTCATAGTCATTTAGGAGACAAAGCACTAAAGCAAAAACCAGCAGAAATAACAGAAACAGAGCTGCAAAACCTCTGATACTGGAATTATCAGACACAGATTACAAAATGACTATGATTACTCTATTAAATAAAAGTCAAGGGACTTCCCTGGTGGCGCAGTGGTTAAGAATCCACCTGCCAATGCAGGGTACACGGGTTTGAGCCCTGGTCCGGGAAGATCCCACATGCCGCAGAACAATTAGGCCCATGTGCCACAACTACTGAGCCTGCACTATAGAGCCCGCGAGCCACAACTACTGAGCCCGTGTGCTGCAACTACTGAAGCCCAGGCGCCTAGAGCCCGTGCTCCACAACAAGAGAAGCCACCACAATGAGAAGCCCACACACGGCAACAAAGAGTAGCCCCCGATCGCTGCAACTAGGAAAAGCCCATGCACAGCAACAAAGGCCCAATGCAGCCAAAAATAAATAAATAAATAAATAATTTTAAAAAGTCAAGCTTGAAAATAAATCCAGATAATAAGAAACCATATAGAATAACCAAGCAGATTTTTTAAAAGAATCAAATAGAACCTCAAAAACTGACAACTATAATAACTGTAATTAAAAACTAAATGGATGGTTTTAACAGCTTGTTAGGCATACCTAAAGAAAGAATTGTTGAAAACAGAAGTAGAGTCATGAATGTAGGAAACAAACTTATGGTTACCAGGAGATTGGGGGGGAGGGGAGGGATAAACTGGGAGATTGGGACTGACATATACACACTAATATGTATAAAATAGATAACTAATAAGAACCCGCTGTATAGCACAGAGAACTCTACTCAATACTCTGTAATGGCCTGTATGGGAAAAGAATCTAAAAAACAATCAAAAAGAATGGATATATGTATAACTGACTCACTTTGCTGTATACCTGAAATTAACACAACATTGTAAATCAACTATACTCCAATAAAAACTTTTAAAAAGGGGACTTCCCTGGTGGCGCAGTGGTTAAGAATCCGCCTGCCAATGCAGGGGACACAGGTTTGAGCCCTGGTCCAGGAAGATCCCACATGCCGAGGAGCAACTAAGCCTGTGCACCACAACTACTGAAGCCTGCGCGCCTAGAGCCGCTGCTTTGCAACAAGAGAAGCCACCGCAATGAGAAGCTCATGCACCACAATGAAGAGTAGCTCCTGCTCGCCGCAACTAGAGAAAGCCTCCACGCAGCAACGAAGACCCAACGCAGCCAAAAATAAACTAAAAAAATAAAATACCCAGGCCAAAAAGAAAAAGAAAGAAAGAATTGTTGAAATGGAGGATAGACCAGAATAACTTGTTTAGAAAGAAGCACAAAGAGGCAAAGAGATGTAACACATGAAAGAAAGATTAAAAGACATGGAAGATAGTGAGAAAGTAACATGCCTCTAATCAGAGTTCCAGAAGGAAAAAAGAGTGAGAATGAAACAATATCTGATGAGATAAGACCTGAGAATTTTCCCAAGTGAATGATCCTAACCACAAATTCAAGAAGTCCAAATGAATTCCAAGAGGGGTAAATTTTGAACTTTTTGAATTTATTCCATATTTGAAAAAATTTTTAATTTAAATCGTTTTTTGCAAAAGAAGCCAGTTTGGGAAGAGAGGGGCAAGAGACAGTCGAAAAAGAAGGTTGCATATTATATAAGCTACTTTGTTTAAATTTACTTTTGTGAGTTAACTTGTACATCAGAAAGTACACTGAAAATATATGAAAAAAATCAATTTACTTATTTAATATTTTAATATATGAAAAATGTTTATCCAAATTTCCCTTAAATCTAGAAGTCAAACATTATTGACGCACGTATTATGTAATGTTCTCATGTTTTAAAAAAAAGTATTGGCTAAGGAATCTAGCCTAGCCCACTGAGTACTTTTTTAACTGGAACTTTGGTTCAATCACAGAAACGTAAATTGAATCAGGAACCTGAACTAAAATGAACCCTGAATCAAAAACCCAAAATGAACTATACTAATCTGCAGGAACACAAAGGGAACCAAAGCCAAATATGGTAATAATTGTTTACAGAACCAAAATTCTCTAAGAAAATCATTTGCCTGTGCCAGTTTTTCTTCTTTCTGATGTATTATATTTTTAATACTTTTAGAAAAATATTATCTAACAAGATAATGTGTCCTTAAGAAGAACAAGTTGGATATTAAATAAAATGGTCATTCCTCTCTCCTCTTCAGACACCCTTAGCCAACCCAGTCTGAGCAACAAGCTGAAAATCAAGCATTAAAGGGAACCAGGCCTTAAAGGGAATGAGGCCTTAAATGGAACCAGGCCTTAAAGGGAACTCCAGGGAAGCCAGGAAAAACAGTGAGAAAAACCAAGAGAGAAGCTACAAGTCCCTGGCCCTGTTCTGAGGTGGAAAAGGCCTTGACGGAGGAAAAGAATGAGAAAGCTAATCTCTATTTTGCTTTTTTTAAAAAACTCTCTCTCCCCTCCTCCTGATCTTTTCCCCCTTTCCTGTCTCTTTTTAACAGATCATCTCTTTTTCCTACATTTCTTTTGCTTATTTCCATATCTTTGTCTTCTATATCTTCTGCTATTATCTCTCCTATTTGTCTTCTTTCATCCCTTTTATCCCCATTTCTTTCCCTTCTCCTTCTCTACTACTTCCCCACCCCCACCCCCACCCCCCGCCCCGTCCCGGACCCTATTATTCTGTTCTCCAATATTTCCCTTCCTCCATCTTTTTTTTTTCAATTATCTGATCTCATTCCCCACCAAAAGTAGAGGATGTTTATAATCTTATGAAACAGATTTGACAATATTTACTTATTTGCTTTATGCAACATGATGCTATACTTTGTTCATAATATTTGGAGGGAAATGTTATTTATCCACTTATCAGGCCATTTTGTTAAATGCTACTTCCATTTTTGCACCACTCGATAATTTGCAAAGCACTTTTTAGTGCACATTAGTAACCAATTCAAAGTTGGTGGGAGATTTTAAGGTAACCCTGATAATTTTCACTGTGACAGTCAGCCTTCAAGATTTTTCCCAATGATTTTTTTTTTTTTTTTTTGCGGTATGCAGGCCTCTCACTGTTGTGGCCTCTTCCGTTGCGGAGCACAGGCTCTGGACATGCAGGCTCAGCGGCCATGGCTCACAGGCCCAACCGCTCTGCGGCATGTGGTATCTTCCTGGACCAGGGCACGAACCCGTGTCCCCTGCATCGGCAGGCGGACTCTCAACCACTGCGCCACCAGGGAAACCCAAGATTTTTCCCAATGATTCTTACCTTCTGGTATCTATGCTCTTCTCTACTCTCTTGACATGCTATGTAAGAATTGGTTTATGTGACTCGTTGAACATGGTGGAAGTGATGGTGTGTGACTTCTGAGGTTAGGTCATGGAAAAACATAGCAACTTCCACATTGCTTACTTGAATCACTTGTTCTGGAGGAAGTCAACTACCATGTTGTAAACACACTCAAGCAACCCTACAGAGCAGTACACATCTTGAGGAACTGAGGTCTCCTGTCAACCAGCACATATTTGCCTGCCATGTAAGTGTGCCATCTTGGAAGCAGATCCTCCAGCCCCTGTTAAGCCTTCAGGTGATTGTGGCCCTGGTCAACATCTTGACTGCAACCTCATGAAACCACCCCTCCAGCCAAAACATCCAGCTAAGCCGCTCCCTAATTCCTCACAGAAACCATGAGAGATAAATGCTTATTATTGTTTTAAACCACTAAATTTTGTGGTAATTTGTTATGCAGAAATAGATAACTAAAATGATTACAGTACTGTTTTGGACACAAAACCAAAACAATTTGTGCATAGATAAACACCTGAAAACAGTTCTTTCTTTACTTCACCAGTAATAAATAGGCACTTACCAATTCCAGAAAGGAAATTTTGAAAAGTTCCTGGAAATTTCTTTTATACACTCAGCTTAATTCAGCAGTACTTCTGTATTCTTCTCATATGAGGATGGAAACAATAGTATACACAGAATAAAATTAATAACTTCCTTGTCTAATAAGTCTAGTTACATTAAAAAACAAGTCCCCTGTGAGAACACATCACAAATAAGATCATCCAAAAAAAAGTTCCACTCTCTCAGAACAATGCATTTGTACTTTGAAATACAGTCAGCCCTCTGTATCCAAGGACTTTGAGAACTTGAGCATCTGCAGATTTTGGTATCTGCAGGGGTGGGGGATCCTGGAAACAATCTCCCACAACCAAGGGCCAAGAGACCAGTGTATATTCTTTTAATTATCCACAATATGGAGCTAAAGAACATTTTTGTTATTTGTTCTCAGTTCAGAGAAACTTATGCATTCCCTGTTCACAGTTATAGTTTCAAATAAATTTTACATCAAAAATAATGTTAAATCTTGCTAAATCTTATAAATAGGCATTACTATCCAGCTTCCACAACTGAACTTTTTTTAATTAAAAAAAAAGTGAACCCATTCTTCTAATGACCCAAGAATGTAATCTAATAATGCTGTTAACCTAAAGCTAAAATTGAACATGAAAACATCCCTCTATATGAAAAATGAACTCTACTGTTTTGTCATTTAATTGCACCTCTAGATACTTGGAGTGCAGAGCAGCTATAATTCTGAATTTTTTTTTTCTTGCAAAGTATCCTGATGGGTATAATGTGATCATCATTTACATGATCCAAGATTAGGATGATAATCAAAAGGAATTAAATCAAAATACCAGCCACTGAATCCTCCAGTATGTCTTTTCTTTATAATAATAACCACACGGGCTTCCTTGGTGGCGCAGTGGTTGAGAGTCCGCCTGTCGATGCAGGGGACACGGGTTCGTGCTCGGTCCAGGAAGATCCCACATGCTGTGGAGCGGCTGGGCCCATGAGCCACGGCCACTGTGCCTGTGCGTCCGGAGACTGTGCTCCGCAACGGGAGAGGCCACAGCAGTGAGAGGCCCGTGTACCGCAAATAATAATAATAATAATAACCACACTGTATTTGTAGTGGCCTATGAAGATTTTGATAATCTCTACAGATTAGATGCTGAGTGAAATTCATTAAATGATTCAACAAATATTTTATCGAGTTCTGATTGGGCTCCAGGCATTATCCTCGATCTTCAGAAGCAGAAATGAACAAGGAGTGTCAGTTCCCTGCTTTCATGGTCTTCATATTGCAATGGTTGGCAGACAGACCAAAAGCAGGTGAAAAATAAATGAACAGGATCACTCCAGGTGGTGCTAAGTATTGTGAAGGAAATCCAAAGAGTGATGTGCAGGGAAAAACTTTATAAGTGGGGTCAGAGAAGGCATCTCTCAGGAGATGGTGCAATCTGAAACTTTGGGTCTGATCATTCCATTTGGAAGAAATATCTAATGACGTTGGATCATTTCTTTAGGTGATGTACCATTATTATTCTTATACCCCAAAAGTCCTAAGACACACTGTGAACCATAATCAAATATATTTTTGTCCATTGGTTTACACTGTGGTCCTCTAGGTTTGATGCTAGAACAGGTATGATAATCATGTGCAAAGGGACCAATTTGTTGGTCCATCTTCACCTGCACCTTGGCAATCTGGGTAATGAAAAATCCCTTGGGAATATTAGATACCCAATTTATACAGTTCTGAACTTATTCCTCATTCTCCAGGATTTTGAATTGATTTTGAAAAACTGGTGTTGTTCGACATTTATGAAAAGTAAGGCTGGGATCTTAAAGTTCTTTGATATTCTACTAAAACCATTATTTTCCATCAGCCAGCCTCTTAAATTAACATTATTTTGAAGTCTAGCCAATTCAAAGACTGCAAAATCAACTATGATGCTTGGTGTTTACTGCATCAATTACCATGTACCCGTCCATGAAGTAGCTTAAGACACACAGTAGCTTCCCATCGATGACGACAGTATCACAAAGTAGTGATTCTGCCCGTAAAGTAGCTGGTTTAACCAAGATGCCATGAGGGGCTCTCTCATCCCTTCAGAGATTTCAGTAAACCCATCTAGATCTGTGAGCATCTTAAAAATCCCTAACACTTTTTCTCAGAGGCTTTTCTCTGCCTCCACTCTTGGGTCCACACAATTTAACTCTTGTTCTACTCTGTGATCTAGACACAGGCCGAGCCCTTACACAAGTTTCTATAAATAAATAAGTAAATAAACAAACAAATAAATAAAAGACTTGCACCAAATATTTAATCAGCTCAGTAAATTTCAGCAAAGCTGGGTGCAGGAGTGAGGGGAGGAAGAGTCACGTGGGCAGATGCGAGGCGCTCTCCGCCCTCTCAGTGGCTGCGGCCCCTCCCCTGTCTCTCGGGATGCTGCTCTGGGAAGTTACTGCCAAATTGCTCCCTTTGTCTCAGAAACATTCCGCCCACACCCTAAGCCCTCCGGAGCTCTCTTCTACTCTCTCAGCTCTTATCAGGGTATTTTTCAAAGTAAATACATTTCCCTTTCTAGGAGGAATTCTGGTGCCAACTAATAATAAAATAACGTTCCTCCGCCTTGTTACACGTGATGCACCAGTTTTCATCTTGGGGCCGCTTGCAGTGTTGGGATGGATAGCAGGAGGTTCCGTGTAATTTAGAGCTTGGTAAGCTTGACTTTTACCAAAAATAAAGTAGTTTAAAAATGAAGCGGAGCCACAGGGAGGGGTGCTTAGAGGGGAGGAACCAACAAGTGGTTTTCTACATTTGCTCAAAGGGGAGGCTGTGGATCTGTGAAGTTTGTCACCTCCGGCTTCCAAAGTCAAGTTACATAAAAGAGCAGACCTTTTCACTTTCTAGAGGGTTCTGCAAACTGTCACCATGCATAAGGAGCTTTTGATGCATTTCCTTTAAGTTGCTCGGTGTAATCATAGGGTTTTGCATTTTCTGATCCTCCCCTCTTAATTGAGGGATTGCCACACACAAGATGACATCACAAATTCCTTAGTTTCATTAGAAACAGCCCTTGCTCTGTCCACTTAGGTTAGGGTATGAGAACTGCTTTCTAAAGGAACTACATTTATCTGAAAGCCACAGAAAACTTCTAAATATAGGGTAGCTTTAGGAAACAGCAGGAGCTAGTGCCTTCAGGATACTTTATTTATATGGTATAATGAAATTTGAGTCCTTTGAAATTGACAAGTAGATGTAAGTAAAGGAAAAACTGTCATTTTTTATGGAAACATTTCACGGTACTCTTAGTTTTCACATTGTTACATGTTCCTTGGCTCAGTTGATAATGGGCATGTAAACTGCTTCATGCAATTGAAAGGAGTATAATTTTCAGTTAATTTCGGGGGTGTGATTATTATTCACATATTTATGCATAATTATTATAAACAAACGCCCATAGAATTCATTTATCTGGGCCTATATATCCATGATCAAGCCTCCCTCCGTTCTTTCTTGACCGCTGCTTGGTAATTTCTTTTGACTCACTTTAATCATGTTTTACCATCACATTGCTTCTTAATAAGACAGTCAATTCTTGCCATCCCTCTGCAATGAAATGCTGTTCCTGGAGCTTTATCTGTACAACCTAAATGATTTCTGCAGTCAGTACCACAGAGTTATTTGTCCCAGATGGACAGTGAATGATTGTACTGTTTCTAAAGCAGTTCTCCTTTGCAAATACCCAATTTACAAAGCCTTTCAAAGGTATTAATAATAATAATAGCAATGAGTCTCCTAATTAATTTTCTTTCCTCTGCCTCTGTTTGACCATCTCATGGAAAAGCAGGTGACAAGAATGTAACCTAGAAGAAACAGAAATGACTGTTTTCTCAGCAAAGCTGTTTAGAACTTCAATTGTCTGATTTCCACAACTGCGAATCTCTTCATGTGCCCAGGACCCCTACCAGCTCCATAAAGATCGGGCTCCCAGGGAAGACCACAGAACAGTAGGATCCAATCTACCTAAGTGCAAGTTCAAAAAATAAGGTGACATTTAGATGCATAGGATATGCTTTTGAGAAATACACCATGAATTTATGTTTAGGGCCGTGGAGCGTTCAAACTCTCATCCTGACACCTGACAATACCTGCAAGGAGAATATGCAGATTATGACGCATATTTTTGAGAAACCCCAGGGCCAGTTGCAACACACTGAGCCTTGTTAAAATGTGGATTCCATTCCATTAAATAGACAGTTATTAAACACCTACCACATACAAGGTCTCGTGAGAGTGGCAAGATGAGTAAAGTAGTTCTTTCCCTCAAGAAAGGAATACCTTAGTAGTAAAAATAATTCTGACTAGTATTTACTGAGGGGTTTACCATGTGCCAGATGCCCCACATGATTATCTTATATAATCTTCATGACAACTATTCAAAAGATGATTAAA